CCAAAACCCAATACAACCAATAGCTCTCTGTTGACCCTAAAAACTATCAAGCCTACGTGGCGCGCAGGCCGAGTAATTAGTAAGCTAACTACGTCCTTCGGTTGTATGCGGGCGTGCCAACTCGTCAGCCGAGCTCGGTCGAGGAGTAAAATTTGTTGATGTTGCGTTGGGTGCACTGCTGACTTCTTGATCTTGCGACTGCGGCCGAGGAAGGAACAAGTCTCAGCCTTCGGGTTCTAGAGTCTGAAGACAAGGCTGCTAGTTCTGCGAAGTTCAATATCAAATTCGGCTTTCAATGTATCGAATGTAGTAACTTGTAACACCTCACCTCAAATCGCCGAGAAGGCTAATGAGATGACCTCTGCCAAAAAGGATTCAAAAATCCTTCTCGACCGAGACTTGGATAGATAACCAGTCCGCCTCGACGTAGTGCTGTTTGTCCAAACTGAAGGTGCTCCGCGGTAGGCTGATTCTACGGCAACAATACTGTTTATCCAAACTAAAGATGTTCGTCGGTTGCCTTCACAATGTTGTTTATCCAAACTGAAGATGTGTTGGCGAAAAAGAAATTAAAAAATCTCAAGATGTTTGAAAGGTTTCCCGTAGAGCAAGGGTTTGCACAGGGCAGTTTTTGTGTTGTGTTGGAGATGGTCTCAATGTTGCATGCGACTCTATATTTATAGTGGGTGAATTCTGATTCGACGCACTTCAATAGAATCTGACTAGCAAAATAATACTTGATGCCCTAATGCTAGCCGAATCAATGGACTAACCTTTTTACTCACGTTCCTAAAATGCATGCCTTTAAAACTACCGTGTCAAGTAATCTTCTTATGTACGCAGTAAACTTCCACGTGGAGACCATAGAAATCTCCCTTTTTTCATGTTTGTCCTATCCATTTGCGAATCAATTGCAGCCATTATCACAAACTGACCCTGACCCTGATCACCATCAAATCACCTTTATCCAATACATGATCCTAATCCTGATGGATTGATTGATTCTTCTCTACCATTTGTAAATCGTTGGCCTCTGCTGCACCATTTCACCTTTATCAAATACATGCATTAACTTAAAATGCAATCTAATCCATTCGTAGTTGTATTCCCGCGTAAGTCATACCAAACATCCCAAACCCATTCGAACTGTACTTCTAAGTTGGAAATATGATTTGCCTCATCACTTATCTTCAAACAATCAGCCGGATACAGCCAATATTAGGCTTAGATAATCTAATATATATTAAGAGATAATATTATGCTTAAAATCACAATATTATTTCTTAATAATAATTGAAAATTATCTCAACCACTTTATCATCCAATGGTCTAGAACTTTACTTATCTAACGACCTTGATTGCAGGGGCCGATAGTGTAAATTTGGGTCCAAACATTGCCCCCAGTTTTCTTGAGCTTCGGCTCGTGAGCCGAATGGTTAAGGAAATTAATTGTTTGGAGTCAGTAAGATCTCGTCGTATTGCCGAAAAAGAAACTTTGTTCCATGACAATAACATGTATGTTCTGCCAACGCAGTGGTCCTTCTCGGCTGCCACAAAAAAAAAATTTAGGGTCGAGGGTAAAGTGGACCGAGGTCGAGAAGCATTTGTCTTGGCAGCTCGGCCTGCCTATATATAAATATATATATTAAACCCATTGTCATCAATCATGACTGTGATACTGCTAAGCCAGGCCCAAATCGTGACAAACCAACTTCGGCCAACAAAACGCCCTGCAACGCTTCTCGTCGAGCTCACCAAATTTCTTTTATTTAGACAAAGAATTGTATTCGGCCACTCGGCAAATGTTGCATGATTTATGTCCAACATCAAAACTCTATATGTATAATATGTAGTCTTGGCAAGACTAAAGTTTGGATTGTCGAGCATACAGTTTGCACCCTTATTTTTTCTAGATTCCTCCTTTTTATTTCTCTTCTGCACTGACTATCAAATATTACCAAGCAGCTCCTATACTCATTCTCACTTGTTATTTTCCGAATAAACGTGGTGGTCGTTGATTAGCTTCCCTAATTTTCTCGGTCGAGATGTACAGACCGAAAATATTGTTGAGCTCGACGAACACACCACCAAAATTTCTCTGCCGAGATTATTGAACAGGAAGTACCCCCAAAACACTGCATGCATGCATTGAATGGTCTCGGCAAAAATTGGCCCATCCTAGTCATTTACTCTTGATGGAAGATACTGAGGTGATTATATATATATATATATGTGTGTGTGTGTGTGTGTGTGTATTTGATGAACTCAGCTGTCAAACTCTCAATTCTCTTTGATCCTTAAATACCTCCACCGAGTGTGAATTTGGCCTGGTACTCGACTCAAAAAGAGCTCCCACAACGGGTGGCCTTCTGCACACATCCTTCCTCGGCTTGGCTAATGTATTAAAAAAAAAACTTTCTAAGCCGAGCACACCATTTTTTGGGTTGCCGCCCCAAATGTTGCCCCCCTTATTTTCTTATGCATCGGCTTGAAAGGCCGAATGGTTAAGAAAATAATTTATTCTTCTTTTTTTTTTAGATAAAGAAATTGAAAACGGTTAAATCGTAATCAGGAGGAGGCCAACGATGCTTTATTCTAAGCCGGGATCTTTTTACATCAAAGTTTTCACTTTGAGATTTTCCAAAGCCGAATAAAAGATCATCTGCAAATATGTTCGGCTTGACGAAAGATTTTTTATCATCGGCCGCCGAATGTGTTGAACAATTATTATGCCCCCCAGGCATAATAATTTTTCCAATTTCGTCTTTTAACTTGAACATCTTAGCCGAACAAGATTTCTCCATATCGGCTTTATCACCAATAATCATATCAATTGGCGTGATTTTTTTCGGCTAGGCCTATGTCTTCAATTACCATATCAATCGATGTGATTTTATGGTTTGAGGCCGTGTATCGGTCTTGTTCGTCATTGGAACACTCCTCTGACGAATCATTTTCTGAGTCAATTTCTGGCTCAGAAACTTGAACTTTTCCTTTTAGGCCTACCACACTTTCAGTCTCGACCGAACAAACAAATGGCCTAGGTTCTTCTTCGGCCGTCTTGACAATTTTCCTAGGCCGAATTTTGATTATTGCTGGAGCGGAAAATTGCCCCCATATTCTAGACAACTTCTCAAGGAGTTTTGCTTTCTTCTTGTAGCAATGCTTTACTTAGCGCCAAATCTCCAACGGAACCTGGTTGAAATCTTGATCTATCATGTGAACTTCGTAGTTTTAGCACTGGATCCCACCGGGCGTGCCAACTCATCGGTCGAGGAGTAAAATTTGTTGATGTTGCGTTAGGTGCGCTAATGACTTCTTGATCTTGCGACTGCGACCGAGGAAGGAACACATCTCGGCCTTCGAGTTCTAAAGCATGAAGACAATGCTGCTAGTTCTGCGAAGTTCAATATCAAATTCAGCTTTCAATGTGCCGAATGTAGTAACTTGTAACACCTTACCTCGTTGATAAGGCTAATGAGATGACCTCTGCCAATAAGGATTCGAAAATCCTTCTCAACCGAGACTTGGATAGATAACCAGTCCGCCTCGACGCAGTGCTGTTTATCCAAACTGAAAGTGCTCCAAGGTCGGCTGATTCTACGGCAACAGTGTTGTTTATCCAAACTGAAGATGTTCACCGGTTGCCTTCACAGTGTTGTTTATCCAAACTGAAGATGTGTTGGCGAAAAAGAAAATAAAAAATCTCAAGATATTTGAGAGGTTTCTCGTAGAGCGAGGGTTTGCACAGGATAGTTTGTGTGTTGTGTTGAAGATGGTCTCAATGTTGCATGCGACTTTGTATTTATAGTGGGTGAATTCTGATTTGACGCACTTCAATATAATCTGACTAGCAGAATAATACATGATGCCTTAATGCTAGCCGAATCAATGGACTAACCTTTTTCCACACATTCCTAAAATGCATGCCTTTAAAACTACCGTGTCAAGTAATCTTCTTATGTTCGCAGTAAACTTCCACGTGGAGACCATATAAATCTTCCTTTTTTCATGTTTGTCTTATCCATTTGCATGTCAATTGCAGCCATTATCACAAACTGACCCTGACCCTGATCACCATCAAATCACCTTTATCCAATACATGATCCTGATCCTGATGGATTGATTCTTCTCTGCCATTTGTAAATCATTGGCCACTGCTGCACCATTTCACCTTTATCCAATACATGCATTAACTTAAAATGCAATCTAATCCATTCGTAGTTGTATTCCCATGTAAGTCATACCAAACATCCAAACCCCATTCGAACTGTACTTCTAAGTTGGAAATATGATTTGCCTCATCACTTATCTTCAAACAACCAACCGGATATAGCCAATATTAGGCTTAGATATTCTAATATATATTAAGAGATAATATTATGCTTAAAATCACAATATTATTTCTTAATAATAATTGAAAATTATCTCAAACACTTTATCATCAAATGGTCTAGAACTTTACTCATCTAACGGCCTTAACTGCACGGGCCGATAGTGTAAATTTGGGTCCAAACACTCTCACACACCAAAGAAACAAATAGAGAGAAATATAATGAATAATTTCCTCTCTATACAAAGCTTAAAGCTATTACAACAACAACTACCTTGGTGGGTGATTACTAACCAAAGAGATGAGCACTTTCTTCTTCTTCTGCTCTCTGTGGCTGTCTTTTCTCTCTCAAAGATGGGCTACTAAAACAGAAATGTTGTACTCTCCCTCTCTCACACTCGGCTGCACACATTCATCCATCATAAAGCATCCAATAAAAAATCCAAACTAAATGAATAATCATTCATCTACAAGCATCATCATGATCTTCATTTTTCTTTTCAACAAACATAATAATTTGTCTCCTCATAATGATGTTCCCACATCATTATGTCCTTCATTTTTTATTTTATATACCGAAAGATTTTTGACCACTGCCACTAGTTCAACACAAAGTTCACTATGATAGCCCAACTTTTTTTCTTAACAGTAATCTGTTGTTGGATCTCGATGCAAACGCGATTTCATTTGTTGCCTTATTCTGTTATCTTCTCAGTCGTACTACATTTGCACTGCTAACCAATCTGTACTACATCTTAGATGTACAAGTACCAGTGAGTACTAAATTCCAGTACTCCAACCTTTTGATTATATTGCATCAACACCTATAAATACATCATCTCTCTATTACCATTGCAGCAGAAATCAGCTCAGCAACTTTACCACTTCAACTTCAAGTAAGTTTTTCATTTGATTTTTGTTCCGTTTATTCACCTCAAATGCTAGAAACAAAGAGCGGAGTGCATAGGGGGAAATTTCCGCACTCTCGTTTTCTCCTTATGCACTTCTTTTGTTTCTGTAATTAGTTAATCTGAGCATTTTTTGTCAGGAATTGGAGACGATCCAATGCAGTATTATGGTTTGAGTTCATCGTTCCCGTCGATCGAATGAACCTGCCTGAATTTATGGCATCCACAATCGGCACCAAATTGATCACCGGAGTGCTACTTTCATCACCTTCAGCTTCCAAGTCCAACAAGTCCCTTGTCCTTGAACTCATGTTACCACTTCCATCTCATATATTTTGTTAAGCACATGCAAGCTATGCACAAACAAAACCGGGGCCGCCATTTTTTATATCTTGGCACCAAAGTCACCACCCGACTGTTACTGTATTCAACTCATCCTCCAACAAGTCCGTTATCTCTATGCGCAACCTCTTAATCTTCGATACAATCAACAGAGAAATCATGTAAAAATAAAATAGCTTGCGTATAGAGATAAAGGACTTGCTGTGGGATGAGTTGAAGATGATAGCTGGTGGTAGCTTTGGTGCCAAGGAATACAAGATGGTCACCTTAATTTTTTTTTTTCTTGGTATGCAGTAGTAAATTTAGTGATAGAAATCAATGTACTGATGTGAGAATATGGTAGTGTTTGATTGAGGATGAAACTTGAGAAATGAAATAAACATGCAAATATTTGATTCTATCTACTCATTTTCTAATGTTCCTCCTATACATATTGTGAAAAATATTTGTGTGCATTAACATTAGGATAACTATCCATATACCTCAAAAAAAAAAAAAAAAAAAAAAAAAAAAAAAAAAAAAAAACTATCAATGTAATTAAAGGACTTGCCGGTTCTCTCATAACTTGTTGATTTTGTGGTATCAATAATGTTCATAGATAGATTGAATTACGATTGACTTTACTGAATGGTAAAAGTAAATGTCAAAATAGATTCAACTATTGACAACGCTTGGTTGAGGGATTCTATTGACAACGCTTTTTGGGAGGCCTTCCATGTGCTGTCTCGGGCGTTGGATATCGGTGCCTCACTTCAAACTTGCAGCTGGTCTTGGGTTCCAAGATCGGGGAATGAAGCGGCGGATTTTGTTGAGTCACACCAGGTTTCGGAGATGCGCAATTATGTCTGGATCAATTGGCCCCCATTTTCGTTTGTAAGAATTCTAAACAAAGACGGATTACCTTGTACCCTGACTTAGATAGTTTTGTGTGTGGGTTGGGTAACACCTTTGCCAACAGTGGCAATGTCGTTTGTCCCCTACCCCCACGTCTATGCACCTCTGTTTGCCATACATCGGGTTTCTTTGTTTCGCCCTGGTTATATGATTTCCAGTTTCTCAAAAAAAAAAAAAAAAAAAAAAATCAACTATCAACCATAAGGATCAGGACTTGACCAATTCGAATTAGACTATCCCAACATCATATCGATTCTTTGTTACCTAAACATATTGATATCGACACAATATAAGCGAGACGCTCTGATTTAAGCAGTTGGATTTAAAATTTTCTCATTGGTAAGAGAATTCAAATTTCGTTTATTTTCTTGGGGCGGCGAGGGTTTATTTCTTTTCTTTTTTTAATAATTATTTGGACTCCTTTTCACCTTTATTCATGTTCTTCACCATGAAGTAAATAACTGTAAATAAAAAGAGAAGAAAAGGTCGCACTTAAAAAAAGAAAAAAAAGGTAAAAAAAAGTGGGTGTTTTGTGGCCTCTTGATTTGCAACAACGATTGTAACATCAAACGAATCAACACAATATAAGCGACACACTCTGATTTAAGCAGTTGGATTCAAAATTTTCTCATTGGTAAGAGAATTCAGATTTCGTTTATTTGCTTGGGGCGGCGAGGGGTTATTTCTTTTCTTTTTGCTCGTTGTAATTTTGTTTTCAATCAGGTTCCCATTAATCTTATTTCGGTGCTGTTGGGGTTGTCTTCTGCCGTTGGGTCTTACTGGAATGCGGGGGGTTTCACGATGACAGGGGGTTCGGTGGTTTCTGCTCGGTAGGATTTGGTTCCTCGGTGGATCCCTCCAACATCTCCTTTTTTTTTTAAAAAATTAATGTTGATGCTAGCTGGTCTAAGGTGTCTAAACTGGGCTTTGTTGGGATGGTCATGCGTGTAGAGGGAGGGAGTTTTGTGGCGGCTGCGAGGTATGCTATTATGTCCCTTAATGTTGATGCGGCAAAAGCTTTTGCGTTATTGCGTGGCTGTGAATTGGGCACCTCTTTGGGGTGTAGCTCGGTCATTTTGGAATTGGATTCTCGTGAATCCATATCTTGTCTTTCTGGTGCTATTGATTCTGGCAGTTGGGAGGTTGGGAGGCTTTCCTTATCTTGCCAAGAGTCAAGCAGTTGAGTGAAGCTTTCCAGATTTGTCGCTGGTCTTGGGTTCCAAGATCAGCCAATTCTGCGGCGGATTTTCTTGCGTCGGTTGGTTTTCCGGAGATGTGTGATCGGGTTTGGGTTGACAGACCCCCATCTTCGTTGGTGCATGTTTTGAACAAGGATGGCCTTCCTTGTCCGCATTGATTTGGTGTGGTAGTGTTTGGGGTGATGCTCAATTTGGTTGTAGCGTCTTCTAGTTTGTATCCCCTTTCATCGCTTTCATTCTCTTTGTGCTTGTTTGGTGTTAGCCTCTTGTAGGCTCTCCTGTACCTTTTGGCTTCTGCCTTGGAATGTCATTCCTCTTTCCAAAAAAAAAACAAAAAACAAAAAAAACATCAAACGCTTTTTTCTTCATTTCGTTTCTCAGTCTCCGTCTCTGCGATTTGTGTTGGGGTTTTAAACGAAATTCGAGCTCGAGAGAACAAGAGGGGTTTTGGGGGATGGCTTCAATGTTTCCAGCCCATGACAAAAAGGCAGGCAAATGGGCCATTATTACCCAAAAGATGGAAAACCCAGCTCCAGCCCATGACAAAATGCTGGGCAATCTGTGGGCCCAGCTGTGCCGGACTGCCCAATCAGGCGATTGGTGCCCGACTCGTGCCCGATTGCAACATCAAAATAAATTGTGAGTGCAGAGTTTGATTCTTCTAGTAATTTATCAATTTGTAATCTTCATGCCAAATCAAAGTCCAAATAAAGTTCCGACAACTTAGCATGAGAATCTCACATGTGTCCAATTGGCGCAAAACCTTGAAATCCACTTATAATGTTATTACAGGTTTAGATTTATAATAGGGTTTAGAAAATTTACAATTAGTGTGTAAATTTTGTTAAATTAATGATAAGGACATGATTTTTCTGTGGAGATTAACCCAAATGTCAACTAGGAACTTGAGTTGAGACTTGAGATTCATCCTCAAATTATTGAAATTCAAAATCTCAAAAGCCGAAGGAAGGAGGAAAAATCTCATAAGATGTGTATGTCATCAACGTTCTACTCGAATCGCAGGAACATTTTTCATTTCCAAATTTCAAATTTGGCGTTAACTGGAACGAGGAGGAAACACACACTGATAGCTTAAGTTATTAGAACCATCAGTTTGTTTTACAGTTCGATACATTGTTAGTTGACCTGTCGAGCAATTTCAGTCGAACCCATGCATATGTTACTTCATATATTATCTCTCCCTTGCAGGCCAAGACACAAACTCAAGCAAATTCGTGCTATCATTTCTGTTCTTATTGGCGAGTCAAGCTCTGATAATGGTGGCAAGTCGATGCTTGTGCTGTGGAAAGGCATTGAGACCCAGCGGATCTCGGTCATGGGCAATCATGCAATTCATTACCAGCTGGTAAGTACTCCTCATATAATCCCCTCATTCTCTGAGATCATGTTTGGTGTATAATGTTTACACTCTCAAGATCAACATCTTAATATCGCTTGTTGTCGAAAGATAAATGCTATTCTTATATTTCAATTTCAGACTTCAGATTTACTGGTGTCGAATTGAAAACTTCAGGGTGTTTTTTCTTATTGCTGAGGGATGCCTCTCGCCGGTTCAGTGAGAAATGCATACCGCACGAAGTACCGGACTGTGTTTATGAACGATAAACTTTCATGTGAGACAATGATGAAATGAATCTTCGGAGCTGGGGCTGCATTTGTCGTCCTCACAGGCATATTCTCAGAGCTTTACTATGTTAGTTATTCCAGGGCTAACGAATCCCCGGCTGCCTATAGCAGAGACACCGGTGTGAGGATTCAGAACCTCTAGAACAGAAACCAAGTGGAGGGAAGTGACAGTGATCTTGTATTATCACTTGGTAGTTGGTTGACTAATAGCTGCATGCCTATCTTATGGACTAAGTTAGTTAATTAACAGGCCATATGATTGAATATTTGAAATGCTTGTGATTTATGTATGATATTTGGAGTTTTATGTCTCTTAAAATTACTAATTTGGAGTTCAGTGTCCTATTACCACAAGGCTCGTTCGACGGATGGAACTGGATGAGATTAGAATTGAGTGCAAGTCAGTGTTATAATCTCACTCCTCTCGGTGGAACCTGTAACAGAGACACAGTACATTGGATTGTTGTCCGGTTTAACTAGTCCAGTTCCAGTTCCAGTTCCAGCGTCAAACAACGGCCAAGACAATAGTCCACTAGCCCTCATCAGACATTCGAAAATGGATAGTCCGTTCCACACCGAGCCACCAAACTAGTATCTGGCATCTGTCCGGTGCCTCAGTCCATTCCTAGATCAATTTTGCTCCCTCACTTTACAGCACAAGCATTGGACTGGTGCTTTTGGAGTCATCCATCGATGGCAATTTGCTTCATAATCCTAATTATTTTACAGATGGATCTGAGGAAACGTAGGTTTGAAGCATCAAAACATGATCTATTTTTAACAAAAAGAAAAATATGTCACAGAACTGTGGCCCCAAATGCACATGCTAAATCCGTAGTCTTTAGAACTGGAGTGAGAGTATGAGAATGGGACCACTTTGAAACGATCTGGATTTTAGGGCTCAATCTTACAACTTTATGACAAGGTTCTAAAAGACGCTAGGCGCTAGCCGGGCGGCGAGCTAGGCGCTAGTTGGGCAGTGGACTGGAACCTAGTGCCTAGACGGACTAGGGGAATTTAAGTAAATAAATTATATTTCATGTAAATAAGTGTCTTTTTATACTTAAAAATATATTTTTTCATCAAGAATGACATATATATTATGAAGTATTGGAACATAATGAAAACATGGGGAATGTGTGTTCATTTAACCATTCAGCAAGTCTCTTACAATTTATTGCAAAAAAAAATAAAATACAAAATGAAAGTTATCTATTTTCTCTCTAAGTGAGTCGCAACCTAAGCGGGTTTGGGCGGGCTAGGCGGGTGTCTCATCATGTCTAGGTGCCCTTTCTTAATTTTCATACACCTAGGCATTAATCGGGATGGTGGCCAGCCGCCTAACACCTAGACGGCGTTAGGCAGGGATTTTTAGAATAGTGTTTTATGAAGGATCAAATACACAACACCAGGAAGGGAATAATAAAATAATTAAATATGGAATGGGTCGTGAATTTTCGCTCTCGTTTTCTTCTCATGCAATTCTTATTCTGTTTTTTTATTTTCTTTTGATTCATTCAAGTCATGTGCTAACAAAATGAAGAAGTTCACAAAAATCATTAAATAAAATTAAAAAAAAAAACATATAAATTGTGTTATAAAATTACTTTACAACCCAAACTCTGTAGGGACTAGAACCAGTGGCCATAAAATATGGGGAAACAAATCTGTGCAAGCTTATTCAGTTGTCCAAATATACATACATATCTTACAAGAATCTTCCATCACATTCTGTCGTTCGCCCTGCTGTGTAGGAGTCCCCATTTCCATTCCTATCACAAACCACTCACCAAAATTTCTATAAAAATAAGAGTAAATTGTAGCAATGATCCCTCAATTTTAACTCAATTAGAACAATGGTCCCTCAACTAAAAATCCATTAGCATTGGTCCCTCAACTCATCAAAAAGTGCAGCTATAGTCCCTCAACTAAAAATCCATTACCAATGGTCCCTCAACTATAATCCAACTGGAGAAATGATCCCTCAACTTTAACCCAATTGGAAAAATAATCCCTCAACTTTAACCCAGTTGTAGCAATAGTCCTTCCAACATAACTTATTTTGACAAAATTTTGACGAAGTTGACAAAAAAGACCATAGCTACACGTTTTGATGAGTTGAGGGACCAATGGTAATGGATTTTTAGTTGAGGGACCATTGCTACAATTTACTCTAAAAATAAATAAAATAAAATCAATAAGCCAATTAGTTCTATTCTATCTCATTGAACCAAAAAAAACCCTAATATAAACCTTTACATGCATGTATTTGCTTCTTCCATCAGGTTAAAGAAAATCAAAGAGCAATCAAGATTTACAAACTTACAAATTAATACATACATACATACATATATATATATATATATTTTTTTTTTTTCAAATTAAATATCTCGAAGCTGAAACCTAAGGACAAGGACAGCTTTAAACAGTCTACATCTCTCTTTAGAAATTACAAGATTGAGAGAGCAAACTACCAGAAATTATATCACCTGAAGATCGCACAATGTGACAAACTGAAAGTGACACATCAAGAGAACTGGGAGACTGTTTCTGTGTCGTAGATTTCTCACACACACGCAATTCAAATTAACATACCGCTAATGAAGATGGCTAATTCTTTAATTTTACGGTTTCATGTGATCAGAAGAATCATCCCAATGAGGCAAGTTGAGATCAGTAGAAACGAGGGTTTCGATGTCTTCCCAATTCCAGTCGTTCGAGTACACGTCCGTGGCAGCGTTACTTGTGGAAGGGGCTTTCCAATTGGGCTGCTGAGGAAGAATATTTGGCATGATGCTTGTAATGGTTGGCTCCTCTACGGTGGCTTTGAACTGATCTTCGGCGCCAGCGTAGTTATAAACGTTTAAGGATTGCAAAGATGTTGAGATTGAAGAGAAGTTTGTGTCAAAGGAACTTGAAGTAGTAGTACTAATTGAGCTTGAGAAGGGATCAAAGGTTATCAGGTTTCTACTTTGATGAAGAAAAGGCAAAGTAGTGGTGCTACTTAAACCTGCTGATGAAAATATGATTGTGTTGTCCAAATTCTGTTGCGGAAGCAAAGATTGGGGACTGATAAGAGCGTGATAGAGAGCTTGCGCCGCGGTTTTTTTCTCGTGATGATCCTCAATCCCTGCACTGTTTGCGGCGGTTGTGGCAGCTGCTTCCGCGGGAGAAGTGTTTGATGACTTTTTGAGGCGCTTGTTTTTGCGGACGCCACCAACGGGGACATTTCGGAGAGTCCCACCTTTTGTCCAGTGCCTCTTGCAAGCTCTGCAGAAGTGCCTTGGCTGCGACTTGTTGTAGTTGTTGTAGTAACAAAACTTTGTGTTCGTTGATTCACATCTCGGACACTTCAACGGCTCGGATTGCTGCTGCTGATTTTGTTGCTGCTGCCTCCTCATGGCGGTTGGTGGTTTTGGCAGCTGAAACGTCTGAGCTTGCAGCAAGCTTGTCTGACTCCAATCCATCCCGTCACTGTTGACCTGCTTAGTACTCAATCCCATCTCCTCGAACCCTCTCAAAACCCGAAACAACGATTTGATTACAAGTTACCCGAAGATGAAGATCAAGGAACAAGTGTTTGATTTTTCTTTTTCTTCTTCTGGTATACTTATATCTAGCCCTTGAAACGCAGACGTCGAAAGAGAAAGCAGTCTGATGAAGTTGACGAGGCTGAGACTAGCTAGGGTTGTTTATAAGCAAAAGGGTAACGCGTTGATCTGAGGAAATGAGTGATTCTGGTTTCAGGTGCAATGAAATGCCTAGGAAGCTCCTGAGAAGTGAGCATGTCTAAGTTGAATCTCCTTATCTCAATAATTTTAACATATATGTATATGTAAGTGTGTGTATATATGTGTATATATAACTATTAATGATATATAAGTGTGAGAAGTGAAAGAGTTTAAGCTAGGGTTCGAAACCAGATTTCGACTGCGGAGGAGAGGTAGCATTTGGGCTTGCCAGAGAGGGTAGTTGGTACGATCAAGTTTGATCGTGAGAAAATTGGAGACATTAGGAAAGGGAATGGGAGAGGAAGATTGAGAAGCCATGAGTGACGACGGGACTAAACGTCTCACTGTAATCAAGCCCTTCTTGTTGATGGAAACCATTGGCAACAAGACGTGCTTTAAATCTTTCAATGGAACCGTCAGATTTCCGTTTAATACGGTAGACCCATTTATTTGGTAGGACATTCATGGAGGGATGAGAAGGAACTAGGGACCACGTTCCTGTGCTTTGTAGAGCATTGAACTCTTCTGCCATTGCCATACGCCATTCGGGAGACTTATTTGCCTGTGTAAAACAAGAGGGCTCAACAAGTTCATTAGTCACATCAGAAACAAGAGCATACTTGGGGTTTGGCTTCTGAATGCCATCCTTTGAGCGTGTAACCATGGAGTGAACAGGTTGAATTTGTCTCTGAGAGGAAGGTGAGACAGGAGCAACACCCATTGCAGTCGTAGGGGATGGAATGGAAGAAGGGGCAGGGAGGTGCGGATTTGGTGGGAAATTAGAGGATTGGAAGCCACTGCCAGTGCACTGATATTGTCACACCACAATTTTGGTGGAGTGAGAGGAAGACGAAGATCACAAAAAATGTGTCTGAACCAAGATAAGGTGGCAGCTGTGTAGGCCATTTGGCGATACTCGGCCTCCGTACTTGAGCGAGACACGCCGCGCTGCTTTTTAGAACTCCAGGAGACCAAGTTATCCCCTAGAAATATGCAATGACCACCAGTGGAGCGACGATCATCAGGGTCACCAGCGTAGTCAGCATCGGCAAATGCTGTGAGGGACAAAAAACTGGGTTTATAAACGAGACCGCGATCATGAGTGGCTTTCAAATAGCGAAGAATGCGTTTGACGGCAACCCAATGTGTAGTGGTGGGCGAATGCATATACTGGCAGACTTGATTCACAGCGAAAGCAATGTCCGGACGTGTGAATAAGAGATATTGGAGAGCCCCAACAATACTTCGAAAGGTTGTTCCATCCGCCAAGGGCTCGCCCTCATACAAACTAAGCTTGCGGCCAGGGAGGGCTGGAGTAGACAAGGGTTTGGCGTCAGCCATCTGAGTTCGTTTGAGGAGGTCCAGGATATATTTTGACTGTGTTAAGTACATGGCCGTTGGCGTTCTCGTAATTTCCATTCCCAAAAAATAATGCAAGGGACCAAGGTCCTTCATGGAGAATTTTCGACCCAATTGATGAATCAAGGTGGAGATGTGAGCTGGATTATTACCGGTGACGAGGATGTCATCAACGTAAATGAGCAAGTAAATGACATTAGTTCCATTGCAGAAAATGAACAGCGAAGAATCTGCCATGGAGGCTTGAAAGCCGAGCTCCTCCAGATGGTGAGAGAAGCACTGAAACCAGGCACGTGGAGCCTGTTTTAAGCCGTATAAGGACCGGCGAAGACGGCATACATGTGACGGAAACTGCGGATCGACAAAACCAGAAGGTTGGCGCATGTAGACTTCTTCATTTAAAGAGCCATGAAGGAACGCATTTTTGACGTCAAGTTGGCGAATTGGCCAGTTAAAAATGAAGAGCCACGGAGAGAATGATCCTGATGGTAGCATGAGTGACGACGGGACTAAACGTCTCACTGTAATCAAGCCCTTCTTGTTGATGGAAACCATTGGCAACAAGACGTGCTTTAAATCTTTCAATGGAACCGTCAGATTTCCGTTTAATACGGTAGACCCATTTATTTGGTAGGACATTCATGGAGGGATGAGAAGGAACTAGGGACCACGTTCCTGTGCTTTGTAGAGCATTGAACTCTTCTGCCATTGCCATACGCCATTCGGGAGAGACTTATTTGCCTGTGTAAAACAAGAGGGCTCAACAAGTTCATTAGTCACATCAGAAACAAGAGCATACTTGGGGTTTGGCTTCTGAATGCCATCCTTTGAGCGTGTAACCATGGAGTGAACAGGTTGAATTTGTCTCTGAGAGGAAGGTGAGACAGGAGCAACACCATTGCAGTCGTAGGGGATGGAATGGAAGAAGGGGCAGGGAGGTGCGGATTTGGTGGGAAATTAGAGGAAATAGGGTTAGGTTGGGGGGATGGTATAGTGGGATGCATGTGATGGTGCGGATGTGGTGGTAAAGGGCAGGGAATAGGACTAGGGTTAGGTGGGTGGTGAGATAATATGGGGAATAAGTTGGACGGATGTGGGTTTGGTGGTACAGTTGGGAAAATGGGGTTCCTAGAGGGATAATGGAAAGAAGAGGGGTCAATGTTCAGTACCATAGACGATTGGGAGGATGAGGAGAGGACGTTGTAGAAATGGATTCTTTGTATGGAAAATTGGTTTCATCAAATAGGACATGGCGTGACAAAAAAATGCGACCTGTGGACGTATCTAAACACCTATAACCTTGTTGATTTAATGAATAACCTAAGAAAATGCAACGTTTGGAGCGAAATTGCAGCTTGTTAGTATTATAAGGACGAAGAAATGGAAAACATGCACACCCAAAAACTTTAAGAAAATCATATTGAGGAGATTTTTGAAACAGTTTTTGAAAGGGAGACTCATCATGGAGAACTTTAGTGGGTAAACGATTGATCAAATAGTTTGCTGTATGGAAAGCATCATCCCAAAAAGAAGTTGGTAAGGAGGAATGAGCAAGAAGAGTGAGACCAGTTTCAACGATATGACGGTGTTTACGTTCGGAAATTCCATTTTGTTCAGGATGATGTGGACATGTAAAACGATGTAGAATGCCATGTTGAGTCAAAAAAATTTTGAATTTGTTGTTTACGTACTCCCCTCCTCCATCAGTTTGAAAGGATTTAATTGTAGTGTGGAACATGTTTTCAACCAATTTCTTAAAGGACACAAAAGTGAGAAAAACATCAGATTTTAATTTTAAGGGATATAGCCAAGAGTAGCGAGAAAAATCATCAATAAACACGACATAATATTTAAAACCATTGATAGAAAAAGAAGGTGAAGTCCATACATCGGAATGAACCAATTGTAAAGGAGATGAAGACCTAGAGACAGACAATGGAAAAGGTAACTTGTGACTCTTGCCCATGGGACATGAGTGACATAACTCACTAGTTACAACGCCCTTAATAGGCAATTTGTTCCTAGAAACCAAATTTTGCAAAATATGAGAAGATGGATGACCTAACCTAGAGTGCCAAATTGAATTGGACACTCTAGTTCCTAAAAATGCAGACACGCCTTTAATGGAAGATGAAACACCAGAAAAAGGGTAGAATCCATTCCTACTCGGGCCTTGTAAAAGCATCCTCCCGTGTGGAGTTCCTGAACACAGTATGAGTTGGGATATAAGGTTAGAGAACAGTTATTATCGGTAGTAAAACGATGGATAGAAATAATATTGGTTGATGCATTAGGGCATAGTAGTGTATTAGGTAATGTGAAAGTAGAGGTAGGTGTACGAATGGAAGTGTTGCCTATGTGTGAAATTTGCAAACCTGTGCCACCAACAACTCCATTGACTTGGTCCATGCCAGTATAAGGATGAGGATGCGCAAACAGTAGCTAGATTATTGGTGATGTGAGCATTGGCCCCGGAGTCAAACAGCCATTCCTGTATGGCAGGTGCTGTTGCAGAAGCAGGAGGAGCACGAGCAGCAAAGGCTTGAAGACGTGGTGCAGGGACACGTCCCTCATAAGACATATTTAGGCGGTTGAAGCAGTCAATCGCAGAATGACCATAACGATTACATATTTGGCATTGAATCCGGCTTGTAGTAAAAAGTACCTTGGGAAGGAGAGGTGCCAAGAAATCCCATCATGTGGGCGGGAGTGGGATACTTGGTGAGAGTTGGACCCTTGGTGATAGTAGGAACCTTGGTGAGAGGGTGAGGAGCTGTAGTGGCGATTGGTAGAGCCGCGACCAGTATTGAAGTTACTACGACCACGGAAGCCAGTAGAGGATCCTCGTCCTCGAGAAGATGCAGGTGCGCGGTTGCCATTGCGAGCGGCGGCAAGGACAGTGAGCCCACTGTCAGTACCAAACGCGAATGTATTTGCTGTCGTCTTTCAGCGCCAAGGAGGAGGGCTTCCAAAGCACTGTAGGTAATAGCCTCATCACGGGCTTGAGCGGAAGCAACGGTACTTTCATAGGCCGGACCAACGTTGTTGAGGATGATGGCAACGATGTCGGAGTCGGAAACGGGAGCACCAGAGAGAGAGAGGGTATCTGCGAGACAATTAATTTTATCCAAAAATTCAGAAATGGAAGAATCACCTCGGTGAGTATTCATCAACTCACTACGAAGCTGGAGAAGGCGACCGGTGGACTGAGAAGCATAACGATCACGTAGTGTTGTCCAGGCAGAGTGGGAGCTGGTTTTCCCAATTAAAGCAGCAAGCACGGTAGGATGGACGGAGGAGTTGATCCATGACATAACAGTTGCATCCTGTTGTATCCAAGTGTCGAAATCAGGGTTGACTTTGTCAGTGATGTTTCCATCCTCATCTGTCAGCAATGCTGGGGGACACTTACTAGTTCCATCAACAAAGGAAACCAGATTTCGACTGCGGAGGAGAGGTAGCATTTGGGCTTGCCAGAGAGGGTAGTTGGTACGATCAAGTTTGATCGTGAGAAAATTGGAGACATTAGGAAAGGGAATGGGAGAGGAAGATTGAGAAGCCATGAGTGACGACGGGACTAAACGTCTCACTGTAATCAAGCCCTTCTTGTTGATGGAAACCATTGGCAACAAGACGTGCTTTAAATCTTTCAATGGAACCGTCAGATTTCCGTTTAATACGGTAGACCCATTTATTTGGTAGGACATTCATGGAGGGATGAGAAGGAACTAGGGACCACGTTCCTGTGCTTTGTAGAGCATTGAACTCTTCTGCCATTGCCATACGCCATTCGGGAGACTTATTTGCCTGTGTAAAACAAGAGGGCTCAACAAGTTCATTAGTCACATCAGAAACAAGAGCATACTTGGGGTTTGGCTTCTGAATGCCATCCTTTGAGCGTGTAACCATGGAGTGAACAGGTTGAATTTGTCTCTGAGAGGAAGGTGAGACAGGAGCAACACCCATTGCAGTCGTAGGGGATGGAATGGAAGAAGGGGCAGGGAGGTGCGGATTTGGTGGGAAATTAGAGGAAATAGGGTTAGGTTGGGGGATGGTATAGTGGGATGCATGTGATGGTGCGGATGTGGTGGTAAAGGGCAGGGAATAGGACTAGGGTTAGGTGGGTGAGATAATATGGGGAATAAGTTGGACGGATGTGGGTTTGGTGGTACAGTTGGGAAAATGGGGTTCCTAGAGGGATAATGGAAAGAAGAGGGGTCAATGTTCAGTACCATAGACGATTGGGAGGATGAGGACGTTGTAGAAATGGATTCTTTGTATGGAAAATTGGTTTCATCAAATAGGACATGGCGTGACAAAAAAATGCGACCTGTGGACGTATCTAAACACCTATAACCTTGTTGATTTAATGAATAACCTAAGAAAATGCAACGTTTGGAGCGAAATTGCAGCTTGTTAGTATTATAAGGACGAAGAAATGGAAAACATGCACACCCAAAAACTTTAAGAAAATCATATTGAGGAGATTTTTGAAACAGTTTTTGAAAGGGAGACTCATCATGGAGAACTTTAGTGGGTAAACGATTGATCAAATAGTTTGCTGTATGGAAAGCATCATCCCAAAAAGAAGTTGGTAAGGAGGAATGAGCAAGAAGAGTGAGACCAGTTTCAACGATATGACGGTGTTTACGTTCGGAAATTCCATTTTGTTCAGGATGATATGTGGACATGTAAAACGATGTGTAGAATGCCATGTTGAGTCAAAAAAAATTTTGAATTTGTTGTTTACGTACTCCCCTCCTCCATCAGTTTGAAAGGATTTAATTGTAGTGTGGAACATGTTTTCAACCAATTTCTTAAAGGACACAAAAGTGAGAAAAACATCAGATTTTAATTTTAAGGGATATAGCCAAGAGTAGCGAGAAAAATCATCAATAAACACGACATAATATTTAAAACCATTGATAGAAAAAGAAGGTGAAGTCCATACATCGGAATGAACCAATTGTAAAGGAGATGAAGACCTAGAGACAGACAATGGAAAAGGTAACTTGTGACTCTTGCCCATGGGACATGAGTGACATAACTCACTAGTTACAACGCCCTTAATAGGCAATTTGTTCCTAGAAACCAAATTTTGCAAAATATGAGAAGATGGATGACCTAACCTAGAGTGCCAAATTGAATTGGACACTCTAGTTCCTAAAAATGCAGACACGCCTTTAATGGAAGATGAAACACCAGAAAAAGGGTAGAATCCATTCCTACTCGGGCCTTGTAAAAGCATCCTCCCCGTGTGGAGTTCCTGAACACAGTATGAGTTGGGATATAAGGTTAGAGAACAGTTATTATCGGTAGTAAAACGATGGATAGAAATAATATTGGTTGATGCATTAGGGCATAGTAGTGTATTAGGTAATGTGAAAGTAGAGGTAGGTGTACGAATGGAAGTGTTGCCTATGTGTGAAATTTGCAAACCTGTGCCACCAACAACTCCATTGACTTGGTCCATGCCAGTATAAGGATGAGGATGCGCAACAGTAGCTAGATTATTGGTGATGTGAGCATTGGCCCCGGAGTCAAACAGCCATTCCTGTATGGCAGGTGCTGTTGCAGAAGCAGGAGGAGCACGAGCAGCAAAGGCTTGAAGACGTGGTGCAGGGACACGTCCCTCATAAGACATATTTAGGCGGTTGAAGCAGTCAATCGCAGAATGACCATAACGATTACATATTTGGCATTGAATCCGGCTTGTAGTAAAAGTACCTTGGGAAGGAGAGGTGCCAAGAATCCCATCATGTGGGCGGGAGTGGGATACTTGGTGAGAGTTGGACCCTTGGTGATAGTAGGAACCTTGGTGAGAGGGTGAGGAGCTGTAGTGGCGATTGGTAGAGCCGCGACCAGTATTGAAGTTACTACGACCACGGAAGCCAGTAGAGGATCCTCGTCCTCGAGAAGATGCAGGTGCGCGGTTGCCATTGCGAGCGGCGGCAAGGACAGTGAGCCCACTGTCAGTACCAAACGCGGAATGTATTTGCTGTCGTCTTTCAGCGCCAAGGAGGAGGGCTTCCAAAGCACTGTAGGTAATAGCCTCATCACGGGCTTGAGCGGAAGCAACGGTACTTTCATAGGCCGGACCAACGTTGTTGAGGATGATGGCAACGATGTCGGAGTCGGAAACGGGAGCACCAGAGAGAGAGAGGGTATCTGCGAGACAATAATTTTATCCAAAAATTCAGAAATGGAAGAATCACCTCGGTGAGTATTCATCAACTCACTACGAAGCTGGAGAAGGCGACCGGTGGACTGAGAAGCATAACGATCACGTAGTGTTGTCCAGGCAGAGTGGGAGCTGGTTTTCCCAATTAAAGCAGCAAGCACGGTAGGATGGACGGAGGAGTTGATCCATGACATAACAGTTGCATCCTGTTGTATCCAAGTGTCGAAATCAGGGTTGACTTTGTCAGTGATGTTTCCATCCTCATCTGTCAGCAATGCTGGGGGACACTTACTAGTTCCATCAACAAAGGAAACCAGATTTCGACTGCGGAGGAGAGGTAGCATTTGGGCTTGCCAGAGAGGGTAGTTGGTACGATCAAGTTTGATCGTGAGAAAATTGGAGACATTAGGAAAGGGAATGGGAGAGGAAGATTGAGAAGCCATGGGAGAACGGGGAAAAAAAAATTATTGTCGCTAGACTTTAGCTCTTTGATACCATGAAAGAGTTTAAGCTAGGGTTCGAAAACTGTGAACTGCATAAACTCATCAAGGAGTATGGTTTGGCTTTCTTACAATCTGCATCATTGCAGTATGGTTTTTATACAGTTTTACATACACCCGCATGCCATAAACAATAGTACACGCATGCAATAAATAATGTGAGATCATGCAATATTCTTCTGCCCATCTTCGACAGGACTTCATGGGTTTCATTTAGAATAGTCCTTTCACCATGTCAGCAGCACATGGATTATATGTCAGCAGCACATGGCTTATACTCAGGTAGTTTGAACTGAATATTTGGTTTATCAAGAAGAATATTAAGATATGATGATGGAAGAGCAGGAAAGGTTTTTGAATGGTCGAGGAAAGTTGTGATTGATAGATGTGTGGGGTTTGGTACTGGTGGGTGGCGGCAACCTTATAAAATTATGCAAACTTAGGCGACAATCAATAGTACCATACTACCATGCTCTTATATATTCCTTACTCATCACCCCCACAATTTTATAGAAACAAAATATTCAAGGACTAAAGTAATATAAGAGAAGAAACAACGTGGAGGAGACAGAGAAAGAGAGAAAATTACTTAACCTCGAAGGTGAAGGTGGGTTGTTGACATGTGGCTACCTTCAGCACCATTGATAGTGCTTTATACGTTGGCTATGTAAACAGATCATATACAACGTCGTCTGTGCATGCAATGCTATATATATATAACAGTTTTAACAAGAGTCAACCATAAAATACAGCAGTGTATGTGATGCATTGTTTTACAAACAACTAGATTAGAATGTTTGGATTAAATCAAGCAAATTCAGCTAACAACTAAAGCGGTTATAACATTTTGGTATTAACAATTATGCTTGTGTACAAGTTTAATTTATCACATTGAGTAACTACGTATAAGGTTTAGACTCAGGCTAAACATGAAATACAAATATTGTCACATCAATCGATGTACTGCTCTTATTATTATCACATCACGTCGTCGACTACTATTGTTCCCAAAATTAAGCTCACTAGTCCTAGATGACATTATGTGCGACAATACCATATAAAATAATATAATTTGGAAATTTTGGGCAATTGAAATATATATATATATATATATATATATATATGGACATAAAATGGAAAAAAGTACGCTAGGATCCATGGACTAGCTAGCTCGACTTGTTGGGGGATCAAATTGTTGTAGAGGGGTGGCGAGTAGACCCAATTTTGTGGGGATAAATTGCACAGTCGAGCAGCACGTGGTCACAAGTGGGGCATTTGTATTACAATATTTGGAGGGTTTTGATGACCCTGTGGCCCTATATACATGTGATTACATGTTACAGGTTGGCCTTATGTGTTCTAATCACATCCATGCACCATGCAAATATGTGCAATGTAGCTACAATGAAGGGTTAGTGGTCCATGCAAAAGGAAATAGTTAATCTCTAAACCTAGATTCTAATTTCTGTCTATCTCTGTTTTTTATTTATTTTATTATATGGTCATACATAAATATGCATATGCAGAGAAGAAAATGAGTGTGTAATAATAATTTTTTTATGCAAATTGTGTTCAAGAACAGTTGTCATCTATGATATATTTAAACTCGATATGTCTTTATCATTTAGTAGTGGTATATATTCCTCTTCACTTGTAAATAAGAGATTTTAGGTTCAATTCTTGTTAAAGGTAAATTCGAACCAAATTATTATAGGTAGCCTATGGTGAGGTTTAGACATCTCCCTATCTCTTTGTATAGATATTTTTTTTTTTTAAATTTACATGTCTTAATTTGTAACAAAGTGGAGATTGAGTACCACTATATTGAAATGTTGCTCTCTCAAAGTAGGACTCTCCATGGACCCTCTGACACCTCACAGTTTAACGTTAATTCTCATGTCAACATTAATATTTGAAAAAATTTAGCTCAAAGTCCCACTTTTCAGAGTTTCCTTAGCATATCTCATATCAAGTGTCGTAATATAAGTGGTTGGATACTTGTAACAAAAAAAATTCAAACACTTGTATTATGACACTTGGTATATCGAGCATACTCCCGGCACATTGAAAATTTTCTCATTAACATGGTTCTTAACTTCCTAATTACGAGCAAAGAGTGAATTAATTATTTATGATGAGTTTATATTATCATCATCAATGGATGGAGGTTTGGCCGTCGAACATATAAGACCACGAGATCCACGTACATATGAATATGATGAAGGCACCAAACTTATTAAATAATTTGAAGCAAATTCCAATCTTTGTTAGATGTTGAAATCAAA